ATTTTAGTAAGGGATCATCTTACAATGCTACCGCATTAATAAGCAAAAAAAGATGCATAAAAGATAAACATCACATGCAATCAAAAAATGTGACATGATATGGCCATCATCATCTTGTGCCTTTGATCTCCATCTCTAAAGCACCGTCATGATCTCCATCGTCACCGGCTTGACACCTTGATCTCCATCGTAGCGTCGTGGTCATCTCGCCAACTATTGCTTCTACAACTATCGCTAACGCATAGTGATAAAGTAAAGCAATTACATAGTGTTTGCATTTCATACAATAATGCGACAACCATAAGGCTCCTGCCAGTTGTCGATAACTTCTACAAAACATGATCATCTCATACAATAACGTATATCACATCATGTCTTGACCATATCACATCACAACGTGCCCTACAAAAACAAGTTAGACGTCCTCTACTTTGTTGTTGCAAGTTTTACGTGGCTGCTACGGGCTTCTAGTAAGAACCGTTCTTACCTACGCATCAAAACCACAATGGTGATTTATCAAGTTTGTTGTTTTAACCTTCAACAATGCACACGTTCAGCTCGATGACGTCCCTCGAACTCTTGATCCAGAAAAGTGTCGAGGGAGAGTTCCGTCAGCATGAAAGCATGGTGACAGTGATGGTGAAGTGATCCGCGCAGGGCTTCGCCTAAGCACTACGAAGATATGACCGGAGGTGTAAACTGTGGAGGGCGGCGCCGCACACGGCTAACAATTGTTGGTGTGTATTCTAGCGCCCCCCCTTCATATATATAGGTTGGAGGGGAGGAGAGGCAGCCAAGGGGTCGCCCCAAGTAGGAGGAATCCTACTTGGGGTCCTCCCAATTCGGCCTCCCCCCTTTCCTATTCCTATTCGGAGTAGGAAGGGAAGAGGGGGAAGGGGGAATCATATTCCCTTTTTCCTTTCCTCATTCCCCTTTTCTACTCCAATTTGGCCAGCCCATATGGGAGGGGTGCACCAGCCCCTTAGGGGCTGGTCTGTCCCCCTCTTGGCCCATTAAGGCCCATGTAGTTGTCGGGGGGATGCCCGGAACCCCTTCCGGTGACCCGATATGCACCCAGTACCACCGGAACACTTCCGGTGTCCGAATATCATCGTCCAATATATGAATATTTACCTCTCAACCATTTCGAGACTCCTCGTCATGTCCGTGACCTCATCCGGGACTCCAAACAGCAGTCGGTCACCAAATCACATAACTCATATAATACAAAATCATCATCGAACGTTAAGCGTGCGGACCCTACGGGTTCGAGAACTATGTAGACATGACCGAGATACCTCTCCGGTCAATAACAAATAGCGGAACCTAGAGCTCATATTGGTTCCCACAAATTCTACGAAGATCTTTATTGGTCGTACCATAATGACAACATACGTTATTCCCTTTGTCATCAGTATGTTACTGGCCCGAGATTCGATCGTCGGTATCTTCATACCTAGTTCAATCTCGTTACCGGCAAGTCTCTTTACTCGTTCCGTAATGCATCATCCCGTAACTAACTCATTAGTCACATTTCTTGCAAGGTTTATTATGATGTGCATTACCGAGAGGGCCTAGAGATACCTCTCTGATACTCGGAGTGACAAATCCTAATCTCGATCTATGCCAACCCAACAAACACCTTCGGAGATACCTGTAGAGTATCTTTATAATCACCCAGCTACGTTCTGACGTTTGATAGCACACAAGGTATTCCTCCGGTATTCGGGAGTTGCATAATCTCATAGTCAAAGTAATATGTATAAGTCATGAAGAAAGCAATAGCAATAAAACTTAACGATCATTATGCTAAGTTAACGAATGGGTCTTGTCCATCACATCATTCTCCTAATGATGTGATCCCGTTTATCAAATGACAACACATGTCTATGGTTAGGAAACTTAACCATCTTCAATTAACGAGCTAGTCTAGTAGAGGCGTACTAGGGACACTGTGTTTTGTCTATGTATCCACACATGTATCAAGTTTTCGGTTAATACAATTCTAGCACGAATAATAAACATTTATCATGATATAAGGAAATATAAATAACAACTTTATTATTGCCTCTAGGGCATATTTCCTTCAAAATGTTTATTATTCATACTAGAATTGTATTAACCGGAAACTTGATACATCTGTGGATACATAGACAAACCACCATGTCCCTATTAAGCCTCTACTAGACTAGCTCGTTAATCAAAGATGGTTATGTTTCCTAACCCTATACATGTGTTGTCATTTGATGAATGGATCACATCATTAGGAGAATGATGTGATGGACAAGACCCATCCGTTAGCTTAGCATGTTGATCGTTCAGTTTTATTGCTATTGATTTCTTCATGTCAAATGGATATTCCTTCGACTATGAGATTATGCAACTCCGAGATACCGGAGGAATACCTTGTGTGCTATCAAACGTCACAATGTAACTGGGTAATTATAAAGATGCTCTACAGGTATCTACGAAGGTGTTTTTTGGGTTGGCGTAGATCAAGATTAGGATTTGTCACTCCGAGTATCGAAGAGGTATCTCTGGGCCCTCTCGGTAATACACATCATAAGAAGCCTTGCAAGCAAAGTGACTAATGAGTTAGTTGCGGGATGATGTATTACGGAACGAGTAAAGAGACTTGCCGGTAATGGGATTGAACTAGGTATGAAGATACCGACGATCGAATCTCGCGCAAGTAACATACCGATGACAAAGGGAATAACGTATGTTGTCATTACAGCACGACCAATAAAGATCTTCATAGAATATGTGGGATCCAATATGAGCATCTAGGTTTTGCTCTTGGTTATTGACCAAAGAGGTGTCTCGGTCATGTCTACATAGTTCTCGAACCCGTAGGGTCTGCACGCTTAACATTCGATGACGATTTGATGTGATTTGGTGACTGAATGTTGTTCAGAGTCCCGGATGAGATCATGGACATGACGAGAAGTCTCAAAATGGTCGAGAAGTAGAGATTCATATATAGGACGATAGTATTCGGACACTAAAAGTGTTCCTGGGGTACCGGGTACATATCGGGTCACCGGAAGGGGTTCCGGGCAACCCCCGGCAAACTATATGGGCCTAATGGGCCAAGAGAGAGACATACCAGCCCCTAAGGGGCTGGTGTGCCCCCCTCCCCCATACGGGCTGGCCAAATTGGAGTAGGAAAGGGGAAGGAGGAAAGGAAAAAGGGAATAGGATTTCCCCTTCCCCCTCTTCCCTTCCTACTCCGAATAGGAATAGGAAAGGGGGAGGCTGAATTGGGCGGACCCCAAGTAGGATTCCTCCTACTTGGGCGCCCCCTTGGCTGCCTCTCCTCCCCTCCAACCTATATATATGAAGAGGGGCACCGCTAGAACACACACTAGCAATTGTTAGTCGTGTGCGGCGCCCCCTCCATAGTTTACGCCTCCGATCATATCTTCATAGTGCTTAGGCGAAGCCCTGCGCAAATCATTTCACCTAATCGTCACCACGCCGTCGTGCTGACGGAACTCTCCCTCCACACTTTACTGGATCAAGAGTTCGAGGGACGTCATCGAGCTGAACGTGTGCAGAGAAGAATTTCGACTATATCAACCGCGTTGTTAAACGCTTCCGCTTTCGGTCTACGAGGTACGTGGACACACTCTCCCCCTCTTGTTGCTATGCATCTCCTAGATAGATCTTGCGTGAGCGTAGGAAATTTTTTTAAATTGCATGCCACGTTCCCCAACAGCGGCAAGATGGCTCGGCCCTCTGGGAGTGGCGGCTTCCATTCTCCGCGCCGACATCACGATAGCTCGACGTGTCGGCTGCAGCTAGAGTTTCGACGTGGGCTCGTCTGTAGGCGGCACGTTTCGACCTTCGACCCCTCACCTCTTCGTTCGGCCGCTATCTTCGTCGAAGGGTTGGCTCTTCCCCAGCTGCGGTTCATCACTAGTCTCACACCTGGTAGCAAGACCGAGCTCGTCTCGCGCCCGGTGGCAGGACCATGCCCGTCTCGCGCCCGGTGGCAGGACCGAGCTCGTCTCGTACCTGGTGTCGCAGGACGGGTCGATGGAGGCCAGTTTTGACTGGCCTTTTAGGTCTCAACATTGGGGGCCACCCAGGGGTGCGAAAGGTGAGTACTTTCCGCTCGTATCTTTGGTTGGGGTAGTGACGAGGCTTGGGTGAGATGGTGTCTAGGTCTTGCATGCGGGACGACGGCCCTGGTGGTGGTTCCGCGGTGCTCATGGGAAGAGCCCGTGGCTCGGTGCTGCTCGGTTGCCACAGCCGTATGAGCGGCGTGGTAGCCAAAGGTGTGGCGTTCGGTGACGGTGAGTGTGGCTGGGGTGAATACATGTTCTATCTTCGAATGAGCCGGCGACAGCGAAGCTCATTCCCTTCTTAAAGGCGTCGTCACAACTCTCATTGCCCGTCGTGTTCCTCCAGAAAAAACTGATCCTCGTATCGAACGATGGCGGCGCTCCGATATTGTATCCTTCCTGAAGGCGCCGCCTTGAAGCCCACGATTCGTCATATATAGATTCACTTCTTCGCGGTGGCATGTTCACAACTGTAACTCCCGGCTGCTCGGCGCCTTGGAGCCCACGGTTTGTCATATGTAGATTCACTTCTTCGCGGTGGCGTGTTCACAACTGTAGCCCCAACTGCTCTTGTAGTTCTAGAGATGATGTTGCTACGCTCAGCACCTGTGTATCCTACATAGGATGTGTGTGCGTGTGTTGCGAGGGCATGTGTTTATACTGGATGCTGTTGATCATTGCTTTATATATAAAGCGGTGTGAAAGCCTTTTTTGATAACATTAATTGTTGCTGCTGAGCATCTTCCAAAGTCAAAATTCGAATTTTTAAGATGGGAACTGAAAACACTATTTGCCATTTCAAAACCGCCCATTCTTACTGCAAGAAGCGAGACAACAGGAAATTAATCGAGTTTTCTCAAAATACTACTAGTGTAAGTTTTAAATCCATAATATTACAGGTTACAACACTGAGCACAAAAATATCAGAACTTATTCGGTGCTGGTTGTATTGTAAGCAATGCCTGCAGAGGAAGTGTCCATGTCATTCAAGCCAAGCTCCTCATTCTGCTCCCAACTCCTCTCATAGTCCTCAACTGCCATTCATAGTGATAAATACATTGAGTAAATCACAATTGCAGTTAATTATGTGGATTCTTTTCCAGTTAATTAGTATGCCTCCACAGAACTACATGCACGTGCTTCATGGGTAATTGACAAAACTTCCACAGATGCATTCAGATTCGAAATGCAATGCGTGGATGTCCCTTCATTGGTTCGAATGATGCATGATGCTGCGTACAATTCATTGATTAGGATAACTTACTGAGTAGCTGGCTGTCATCTTCTATCAAATCTGTGGATGGAGCGACAAATGAAGCCGCTAACGCATCGTCAATAATTAAGGTCCAAGGCTCTTGTAAACTCAGGAGCTGAAATTATACATTGTGTAAATGTTATTGAAATAGTTACTATACAACATATTAATTCACAATTGATTAGCCCAATCACGCCCTTCCACCGAAAGTAGTCAGCATTTTTCTAACTAGACCTCCAATCAAGTTTAGCATGAACCAAGGTTAGGAAAATAAAAAATTTGCTTCATGTTATGAAGGAAGAAACCCAAGACACTTGGGAACTGAGATGCTATGGAAGGAAAAGCACAGCCGTAATCTTCTCCAGATTGCAGGTGAAGCAGCCCCTGGTGGAATAAATAGAACATTCCACGAAAAAGAAACTAGTACCTTTGATAATCTTTGCTGGAAATCATCCCATTTCTTTTTCTTCCATTCATTTGTGCTATCACCCAATTGGAATCCATGAACCCGCTCCAGAGCTGTAGCCCCAAAATGAAACTTATCATTTGAGTTTGAGAAGAATTAACAATTGCATCTGCATCTATTCAGGTGTATTTCATATCGATATAAGTTGCATAAGCTATGTTGAATAAAGAAGTTTCCACAAACTTTGCTTAAAAAAGGACTTCCTGTAAAGAGCAGTTAGATGCTTAACAGCGGGAACTGAGATACATGAGAACCGCATGTTTCAATGATGATACTGGGGATTAGGGAACTGTTGACAAAACCATGAGAGGGTATACACATATTATGAGAGAAACATCGACTATACAGAGTGGCTTCAAGACACTTCCATCTCATAACATTAAGAAATCCACTGTAGTTAGAAAAATTGCTGTTGGCCAGCACATTTTGTGACTTGAACTTATCGTACAGTCCATTTTGTCCCCATGAACTGTTGAAAGCGTAGTGTTGCGAACTTACCCTCACATATTTTCACAATTAAACCTTCAACTGTCGTGACAATACCACCCAATGTACCCATTGACAGCTCCAACTCAAGTTCAGGTACTTTCACAGCGGCAGAATCTGACTGACGAGATCAAAGGGTAACTCAGAATCAAGTAACTTACATATCAGATGTTGATCCGAATACACCAAACGGTAACACAAGCTTGAAGATTCTTTAAAATATCAAAATCAGCAGTCAAACTTGCTAGTATGACAGAAAATTTAGCTAAAAGACACATCAAGTTTCTTAACTATAGAAGAACCAAGTTAACTTTTCACACCCTGAACCAGAAAATAGTTCAAGGGCCGCCGATACAAGAAAAGAAGATGGACAATCTTATGCACAAGTATTATACAGCTTAAAAACCTGCATGGCTGCATGTGACAGATAAAGTAATACTACAACAAAAGAGTAATTTTCTGACCTTTATGACATCACGAGAAAGATCTTTCACGGTTTGCACATGTAACGTAATTTTCTTTCCTTTAGCTGGAATTTCACCGCCAGGCTTCAACTAATTGAGCAAAAAGAAAAGCCTTAGTTGAGTTCAGATGTGTTACTAAGAACCAGTGACAGCCAGTTTCTATATGAACAAAAAGAGACATGACACTGAAACTGACCTCTGAGTTGCGATAACCACACAGGTCACATGAAGCTGCCATAACAATAACCTCACGGAAATATGGGATTTCTACCAAAGGTCAAGGATCACATGATACATCAAATACAGATTATCTACCTCCTCCAGATAGCGAGATTGGTCACACAACACTATATACGATCTATTTCGGAGATTGATCAAGCAAATAAACAAGTGTAACATAAACACCACATATAATCAATAAATTTCACAAAAAATAGTTCATGTTCGGTGAAAAGGATACTAGTAGCAAAGAAACGAGTCACACATGCAGCTCCACAGGCTCCACATGTTGATGGCAAAGTATCAACCTGTACAACTGAATTTTGTAAGGCGCAAATTAACTAAATTCTTAATAACGTCATCATTGCCAGGCAACTCAACAGACATACCTCTTTTGGTGCTGTATACCTGCACAGCGTTGCAGCAATTTCATCAGGGTTTCCCTGAGCAATAGCACGACGACCTGCAACAGCTCCAACTGAACCATGGGGTACCTTTGGCAACCCACCACAATTTGCCTCAACTGTCGAAGCATTCTGCGAAGGCTCTCCGGATTCTCCGGTTGGTGGATCAACAAGAAAACCAAGTGCTGCTTGTTGATCAGATGTCCTTTCATAGAAACTCGCAGATAATAAAGGATCTGATGAAGGAGCATGCCTGTGGATTTATGTGGATTAATCAATATATATCAAGTTATAAGTACTTTAAGCATGAACAGAGCTAACAAACACATATATAAACTATGTGCAACATAAGGTCACTCAATTGACTACAGGTTGCAAAAATGGTGTAAAGTAGAACCATGTTTCTCAGTTCCATGATTAGAACTACATTATATAATTATAATATAACAAAAAGAGTGCAAAAATGGTAAAAGTGTGCATAAAAGGTAGAACCAAGTATTTCATTTCCATATCAAAATAAGTCATAAATCTGAATTCCAATCTCAAACAATCTGAAGTCTACAAATAATCTTACGGGTTCTCAATGAAGCTGTTTCCAGCAGGATCATCCAGAACAAAGGTAAACGCCGCTTCTCCAGATCCGAGAGATCTCAATTTTACTAAAAATTGATCAATAGCTTCAGCTTTTTGAGGATCCACTTTCTGCAGTTCCAAGAAGATGATAAGCATATCACTAGGTGACTCAACTGAAATTAAATAACTAAGCATACAAGCTCACAGGTTCACCTTTCTTTCATCTTGAAGTGCCTGCAACTCCTCCACAGCTCGCATAATTGTCCCTTCCACCTAATTTATGATCCGAAATATTTAACAAACTAGCAATAAATAAAAATGAATTCTAAAGGAACCATTTCTTCGGAATTTGTATACAAAATTCAGAGAAGCATACTGTTGAAAGTGTTCCACGTTGAGCTTCAGGAGGAATCTCAAAGTCCAGTTCCGGAATCTGTACGAAGTGTAAATTATAACAGAAGCAATGCATCGTACGTATTTAATTAGCATAAATGCATTAACAAGGAGATCAATATCAATACCTTGATAGTTGCCGAATCAGATTTCACGACCTGACGGTTCAGTATCTGTGCCAATACCGCTTGTTAATCACACTATGAACATCGACTAGAATGCTTTATTTACTGATTACTGGAGATCAAATGTACAAAAAAGACAGATAGAAAGTAACATGCGTATGAATTTAAAGCTGAAATAATGTCACAACTAAAAATGCAATAACGAAACTACACAGCACAAGCGAAACATGCAAAAAAGATTTAGTAATTAGTAATTGTAAGAGGAATCACATCAATAGTGGAACCACACATCACAAGCAAAAGAAGGGGCAAGATAAACACCAATACTAGTGAATCATAAAGTAACCACAGTTATATAGTAACAATGTAAACTTGCATAAACTGCAATACAAATTAACAGGTACGAGAGAACAAGTTGCAGTAAAGCAAAGAAGAAATCTAACACGAAACACCTCTAAGTAAAGTTGTGACTTTATAAATGCAACAGTTCTATCATTAGAAGTCACCATAGAGAAGTTGGAAGTTTACCAGTGTATTTATACAAACTAAAAATAAGTTGGTCCATGGTTGATTTCTGATTTTATTACAGCAGCGCATGGACGGTAAGGACCATTTTTTCTAATAAAAATGCAAAAACACTGTGATCATACTTCATCTGACTTGCAAGCTTTGTTTGGGTATAACCCAAAGGCTGAATCTTACGAGCCGGTAGCTTGCAATTAATTTACATGCATGTGTCAGTTCATATTTCATTTGTCATAAATATATCCTATCAAGTGAAACAACTGCGAAAGGTAATACAGGATAGAGTTCTCTTTGGATTTGAATAGTGTGTGTTGTGTTAGCAAGGTGAGATTGAACAGACGAATAAAGAGACAAGAACAGATCAATCCACTCTTTGCAATAGTTGGGGTATACAACTAAACTGACAGTAACATGATCAGTCGATCACAAGAGGGTATAAAGCTCATGTTGGCACTGCAATTACATTTCAAATGTACTTCCCCTTTCTGTCTGTGGATACAATATCTACTGGAACAAATTTGAGGTCATAACAACTAGTATATCCGACAGGAATTGGTAAAAAATATCGTGTCACTAATCTAAATAGGTTCCAAAAGTATGGTGTGGAGTGGAACAGCTAACACAGTAAGGGTTGGTTGAATCGAGTTATAGGCGCCCCTACAGAAACAGACCTCGTTCTGCCCTTGAGGGACCTTCAAGCGGTAGCAACATCCCTTGGGCTGGAGCTGTCCAGCAAACTGGACCTCGTTGTTCCTAATTCAAAAGCACACAAAACTTAAGATACTGCACTTGCATGTGCAGAAGTACCCCGTAAATTATAGCCGAGCATTGCATTACCCTTCATTACAGTGCGGGCACTCGAAAGCCATCAGAACAACCTGCAGATTCACAAACGCAGCAGATTTACCCCCATTCTCCAATCAGAACAATCCACTTTCGCAACGAGCACAGAGCGCGAAGAAGCTCACCTCCCGGAAGTTGGGGATCGTAGTCAGCAGCAACCTCGTGGTGCCCTGACCAGAAGGAAAGTACGTCTCAGAACTCGCGACGAAACCAAAGGGAAGGGGGAATTAGGAGCGGTATCACAGGCAAGGTCAAGGCGCTTACATTCTCGCCGCAGCGCATGCAGAGAGACTCGATTTCGTGAAGCGCCTCGTCGCCGCCCGCCGACTCCGCAGCGGAGCGGAGGTCCGTCACAACGCGCCCCTCGTCGCCGGAGTTGGCCATGGTCACGGGATATCGGTGCGGGTTGGGCTTCTCGCGAAGGAGTGGTCTCCAGAAGACTCTCGCGGTTTCTTCTCCTCGCACTGCTTGGTTTGGCTGGCGCTGGTGCTCGCGGTGGGAGGGCAAAGAAGTGCGGCGGGACCTCTGTAGGAGAAAAGAACGGGAGAAAGGAGAGCAACCTAGTAGTCTCTCGAAAGAAGTGGACGCTGGCGGGTTGCTAGGCACGGGCCAAAGCTTGAGGAGTAAAAAGCGAAGCCAAAACCAGCACAATTGTCATGTCATTTTTTTTTCGGCAACAATTGTCATGTCATTAGCAACTACTTTCTCCGTTCCAAATACTACTACTTATAAATCTTTATAGAGATTCCACCAAGTGATTAAATACAAAGCAAAATAAGTGAATCTACACTCTAAAATATGTTTACATACATCCGTATGTTATATTTCATTTGAAATATCTAAAAAGATTTATATTTAGAAACGGAGGAAGTAGAAGCTCACGCCGCGAAACAACCTTGGAGAATAGTATTCCCAGTCCAGGTTTTCTAGACTTAATACCAATGCTCGCATTTTACTAGATTTATTTCATGTCTTTGGTGACGTGTGTTCAGTAAAAGAAAATGTTTTGGTCGTGTCTGTAACGACTTTGTCAATCTCAAAATAATGTGCGGGCTCAATATCTCGAAAATGCTCATAAGAAGAGGGTGTGCGTGTGTGCTTTTACATGGATGAGTGTATGTGCGTATGTATAAGCATCTGCATATGTATTGTGTTTAAAAAAAATACTAAGGCGCATGCTTTTTCATCATACCGTTGTAAAATTGATTAGTTTTTTGGATGTTTAGTTTTTGTGTTTCTTCCATGATGCATATAAGAAAAATTCCTAGCCTCTGTGAATGTTTTACCTTCTAGAAAATTAAAATACAAATTGTATTAAAATATTCAATGACCAATGAAAAACAAAACAACAATGAAATCTTTATTGTCAGCTAACTCACATATAATTTGGCAAACTGATGCTAAATTATTGTTCGCTGCCTTGTCTTTTTATCCTGTTTGGTAACCACTTGGACAGCAGAATTGGACTTTGCACAAAAGAGTTTATGAAAGGATTAGACATGAGAAGTAGATTCTTACTCACATTCCTTGTTTGGTATATGATCGGAATTAGTGTAGATGAAACTTTGTCCACAAATTAACAAGGTATCATGTGGGAAGAATGAAGGAAATATGCCCTAGAGACAATAGTAAAATTGTTATTTATATTTCCTTATATCATGATAAATGTTTATCATTCATGCTAGAATTGTATTAACCGGAAACTTAGTACATGTGTGAATACATAGACAAACAGAGTGTCCCTAGTATGCCTCTACTTGACTAGCTCGTTAATCAAAGATGGTTAAGTTTCCTAGCCATACACATGTGTTGTCATTTGATGAACGGGATCACATCATTAGAGAATGATGTGATGGACTAGATCCATCTGTTAGCTTAGCACTATGATCGTTTAGTTTATTGCTATTGCTTTCTTCATGACTTATACATGTTCCTATGACTATGAGATTATGCAACTCCCGAATACGTGAGGAACACCTTGTGTGCTATCAAACGGCACAACGTAACTGAGTGATTATAAAGATGCTCTACAGGTGTCTTCGATGGTGTTTGTTGAGTTGGCACAGATCGAGATTAGGATTTGTCACTCCGATTGTCGGATAGGTATCTCTGGGCACTCTCGGTAATGCACATCACTATAAGCCTTGCAAGAAATGTGACTAATGAGTTAGTTGCAGGATGATGCATTACGGAACGAGTAAAGAGACTTGCCGGTAACGAGATTGAACTAGGTATGATGATACCGGCGATCGAATCTCGGGCAAGTAACATACCGATGACAAAGGGAACAACGTATGTTGTTATGCGGTTTGACCGATAAAGATCTTCGTAAAATATGTAGGAACCAATATGAACATCCAGGTTCCGCTATTGGTTATTGATCGGAGATGTGTCTCGGTCATGTCTACATAGTTATCGAACCCGTAGGGTCCGCACGCTTAACGTTCGACGATGATTTGTATTATGACTTATGTGATTTGATATACCGAAGGTAGTTAGGAGTCCCGGATGAGATCACGGACATGACGAGGAGTCTCGAAATGGTTGAGACATAAAGATTGATATACTGGACCATGTTATTCAGACACCGGAAGTGTTTTGGATGGTTTCGGATAAAACCGAAGTGCCGGAGGGTTACCGACCCCCCCCCCGGAAGTTAATGGGCCACCATGGGCCTTAGAGGAGAGAGGGCCGTCCCGGAGGTGGCGCGCGCCCCCAGTCCAAATTGGACAAGGGGTGGGGGCGGAGCCCCCCTCCTTCCTTCTCTCCCCTTCCTCCTTCCTTCCCCTCAGAGAATGAGTTGTCATTTGATCACCAATATGAGACTCGGAGATGAGTCTCGGTCATGTCTACATAGTTCTCGAACCCGTAGGCTCTATAATGATGTGATCCCGTTAATCAAATGACAACTCATGTCTATGGTTAGGAAACATAACCATCATTGATTCAACGAGCTAGTCAAGTAGAGGCAAACTAGTGACACTCTGTTTATCTATGTATTCACACATGTACTAAGTTTACGGTTAATACAATTCTAGCATGAATAATAAACATGTATCATGATATAAGGAAATATAGATAACAAATTTATTATTGCCTCTAGGGCATATTTTCTTCAGTATGACTATTATCGCCCACAACTCTTTGTGTTCTACTCGTGCATTTAACATCTACGCATAGACCTGGCTCGGATTTGTTTGTTGGGGAACACAATATTTCAAAAAAAAATCCTACAAACACGCAAGATCTATATAGAAGATGCATAGCAACGAGAGGGGATAGTGTGTCTACGTACCCTCGTAGACCGAAAGCGGAAGCGTTGAGTAACACGGTTGATGTAGTCGAACGTCTTCGCGATCCAACCGATCAAGTACTGAACACACGGCACCTCCGCGATCTGCACACGTTCAGCTCGGTGACGTTCCCTCTCTCGCTGCTATGCATCTTCTAGATAGATCTTGCGTGTTTGTAGGAATTTTTTTTGAAATACTGTGTTCCCCAACAAACAAATCCGAGCCAGGTCTATGCGTAGATGTTAAATGCACGAGTAGAACACAAAGAGTTGTGGGCGATAATAGTCATACTGAAGGAAATATGCCCTAGAGGCAATAATAAATTTGTTATCTATATTTCCTTATATCATGATACATGTTTATTATTCATGCTAGAATTGTATTAACCGTAAACTTAGTACATGTGTGAATACATAGATAAACAGAGTGTCACTAGTTTGCCTCTACTTGACTAGCTCGTTGAATCAATGATGGTTATGTTTCCTAACCATAGACATAAGTTGTCATTTGATCACCAATATGAGACTCGGAGATGAGTCTCGGTCATGTCTACATAGTTCTCGAACTCGTAGGGTCCGCACGCTTAATGTTCGGTGACGATCGGTATTATGAGTTTATGTGTTTTGATGTACCGAAGGTAGTTCGGAGTCCCGGATATGATCACGGACACGACGAGGAGTCTCAAAATGGTCGAGACATAAATATCGATATATTGGAAGGCTATGTTTGGACATCGGGATGATTTCGGGTGATTTCGGGCATTTACTGGAGTACTGGGGGTTACCGGAACCCCCCGGGTAGTGTATGGGCCTTATTGGGCCTTAGTGGGAGAGAGGAGGAGGCGGCCAAGGTGGAGGGCACGGCCCCCAAGCCCAATCTGAATTGGGTGGGGGGGGCCTTCCTTCCCTCTCTCTCTCTCCCTTCCTTTCTCTCCTACTCCAACAAGGGAAGGGGAATCCTACTCCCACCGGTAGTAGGACTCCCCCCTTGGGCACGCCATGAGAGGGTCGGCCCTCCCCTCCTCCACTCCTTTATATACGAGGGAGGGGGCACCCCATAGACACACAAGTTGATTGTTTAGCCGTGTCTGGTGCCCCCTCCACAGATTTCCACCTTGGTCATATCGTTGTAGAGCTTAGGCGAAGCCCTGCGTCGGTAACTTCATCATCATCGTCATCACGCCATCGTGCTGACGAAACTCTCCATCGACCTCAGCTGGATCTAGAGTTCGTGGGACGTCACCGAGCTGAACGTGTGCAGATCACGGAGGTGCCATACCTTCGGTGCTAGGATCGGTCTAATCGTGAAGACGTACGACTACATCAACCGCTTGTCATAACGCTTCCGCTTACGATCTACGAGGGTACGTGGACAACACTCTCCCCTCTCGTTGCTATGCATCACCTAGATGGATCTTGCGTGAGCATAGGATTTTTTTTAAATTACTGCGTTCCCCAACAGTGGCATCCGATCCAGGTCTATGCGTAGATGTTATATGCACGAGTAGAACACAAAGGAGTTGTGGGCGTGGGTATATACATATTGCTTACCATCACTAGTTGATTCTTGATTCAGCGGTATTGTTGGATAAAGCGGCTCAGACCGACATTACGGGTACGCTTACGCGAGACTGGTTCTACCGACGTGATTCGCACACAGGTGGCTAGTGGGTGTCAGTTTCTCCAACTTTAGTTGAATCGGATTCAATGAACAGGGTTCTTTTTGAAGATCAAAAAGCAATCACTATACCGCGTTGTGGTTTTTGTTCCATAGGTAAGAACGGTTCTTGATCAGCCCGTAGCAGCCACGTAAAACTTGCAACAACAAAGTAGAGGATGTCTAACTTGTTTTTGCAGGGCATGTTGTGATGTGATATGGTCAAGACATGATGCTAAATTTTATTGTATGAGATGATCATGTTTTGTAATAGAGTTATCGGCAACTGGCAGGAGCCATATGGTTGTCGCTTTATTGTATGAAATGCAATCGCCATGTAATTGCTTTACTTTATCACTAAGCGGTAGTGATAGATGTAGAAGCAATAGTTGGCGAGACGATAATGATGCTTTCATGGAGATCAAGGTGTCAAGC